CACCATTAACTTTTTTTCTGGAAAACATGAGCAAGTTTAAATATAATGAAAATTTGCTATCCAGCCAAGAGTTTTCTCCATGGCTAAAACCAGTACCAGGGAACATACATGAGGCACAGTGTATTTTGTGCAAGAAGCGATTCAAGCTCTGAACGATGGGAATTAAGGCAGTGGAGTCGCACATGCGAAGCACTAAACACAAAGCCTCAAAATCGAGTTACAGAGAAACAGCCGGTATTTCTCAGTTTTGTTCCACCCTTGTCTCTGCAACGCCTCCACTTATCACCAAATCAAACATACTAAGAAAATGATACAAAGAAAAATAGCTGCAAAAAGACTTAGCACTGGTTATGTTGGGGCTTTAAAACTGATTTGTTTTGTTCCCTGCTAAAACAAAGTTTGTGAATTCAGTTAAATAATTTTTAAAATATATCCATCATTTGTTTGTTTTTAGCTTTATTCCTGTATGGAAAGGTTTTCAAAACTTGAAACATTAGTGCAGTGGTTTATGTTATAATAAACCTTTGGGTTAAGTTGTCACAAGCAGGTTTTTCTTGTGTTTCTTGTGAATTTGGTCTTAAATTTTTATTTCAAGTGGCATTAAAAAGTCTTGAATTTAACTTGCCTTATGCTGTACGAACCCTGGTAAGAGTCATACCCATTTTCTCTAACGGATGGCATTAAAATGTGTCAGGTTTCTATTTTTCTTTGTGCCTAATTTTAATTTTCCTGTCACTGATCTCGGTGTCCAGTGGAAATGCTTTCTCTCACCTCACTCTGTTTCTGGAAGCGACCATGGATTGACAGTGCTTTATTCTCCTCCATTGTTTTACCTTCAATTAGCTGGATTGATGTTCCCCACATCAATTAAAGGCCATCTTGAGTTCTGCTGCCCTTTTCCATCAGCGAGAGCAGGTGATATCTTTTCACCTAAATCCTAATGACACCTCACTCTCTTTGTATTGCCATGTGCTGCTGTGCCAGCTAAGGTGTCATGCCAGCTGAAAAGAAAGTGTCTTCATCCAAATAGTATCGTGCTTCTCTCCTTAGGGATCAATAGATCTTTTTTGTCTGCTCATCGGCTCTATAATTCATGGCCTCCTATTTAAAAATTCAACGAAGTAGCTGTCACTTAGCACACTCTCTCTGCTCTGGCCCTGGATTATGATCCCGCACGAAAGGCCATGCTTCCTGTCAGTGACTCAGTCTTTCTGCGTAACCTGAGCCCAGTCCTCGCGCCTTTGCTGCCACCTTCCTCTTGCTTGTTCTCGCCTGGCTCTGTGGTGTGCAGTTACCTCCCTGACACTTGAGCCAGGTCTTTGCAGGTTTCCTATCCTCAGCTCCTTGAATAGGCCCTATAGTGTGTCAAACTCTCAGTTTGACACCTCAGGTTGGATATCAGGCTGCATCATGGGATGGTTCTTTTCTTCTACCATTGATCTTTGTCGGTGGGGTGGAGCAGAAATCCTACCATGGTTTACAGTATAATTCAGTGGTTACCATATTACAAATGTTTTGAAGGTGGCAAAACATATTGAAGTACAGAAACTCATGCAAACGTTTTACTTTTATGCAAATGAATACTAGCTGGTTGCTTTCCAGATGTATTAATCTAACTAGAGAGCTTGTCTCTTCAACTGTTTTTTTTTTTTTTTTTACAGTGTCCTGTCTGGCAATGTGGCAATAAGAATAATTGTCTTGATGCCAAAAAGAGCCCAACAGATTTTACTTTCACAAGTGGAGCAGTATGGCAATTGCCATATTGCTCCACTTGTTTCATGCATATAAATTGCTTTATTATAATTATGCAGGGAGTTTTACAGTTTATATGGACACTGCAATGTAAATAGAGCAACTATTTTTAATGCAATTAATACATTAAAACAGATATATTTATATTTACTATCATGAGATTTCTATTTAGTTTAAATTATCTTATGAAACCTAATTTTTACTTAGTTTAGAATGTTAACTTGACACTCTTTTAAATGGTTTGTTTTATAAATTTCAACTTTTTCCTCCTGATACATTATGATCATTAGCAAATTTGTATCTATTTGTAAGAAACTGTGTTTAGAGGAATGGTTTAGGGTGGTCCAAACTGCCTCAATCTAAATCACGTGTTCCCGTCTGCTCATTCTGACTGAAGAAAACTGACCCGATTGCATTTATCTGAAGTAAAAGGCAGCAGCTCTACACTTGGAAACAGGATAAAACTTTGATGGATGTTAATTTCCTCACACCTCCTCATATTGTAATGGAAGAACAGTAATAGCATGAGGTTCCAGACATGTGGCTTAATTATGGAGAGCAGTGCTGCTCAGCCATCCTTAGAACCTGGACTTATATTTATATATATTTAGAGTCAGAAGACTCTAAACCAACACAAATCTATCTGTATGATTTGTTTCTGTAGCACAAATGGAAATGCAGAATTTTATTTTTTTAGGTGTATTCTGCTCATATTTGGGTTCTTATATTCTGATTTAAACCTGGGGCAAGTAAATCCTTTGTCAAGATCAGATTATTTGATGTTTAACCCAAATGGTGAATTTTATTATTTTTTTTAATTCAATTAAAGAATTGTTTTTACATTTAAACATATGTTATATTTCCAGAAGTATTGTCAAATCCCCAATATGCAGATTGTGGATTACATTTGCTGGACTTTTATATAATGTTAAATTATGTTCATACAGTTAATAAAATATAAACACTGGATTAAAAGAACAAATATATAAATTCTCACTCATCTCACCACAATGGACCCAAAGAAAACCAACGTAAGATGATAATATAAAGAACAGGTATGCGAGACGTGGTTAGTACTGACCAAATATTCACTTTACTGATCTAATGTTCTATTTAAAGCCTACAAGTGCACTACTATAGTGAAATGACACATGATCACAGTTCGACCGTGCAGAGTCACTCCGCTCTGATAATACTGCAGGTGCAAAAGGCAGTTGCTTTTTTTTTCTGTTTACTGCAAAAAGCATAAATCAGATTATGGTTTGTTATCCATGGTTGAGTATCCGAAGAGAACCCGCGCATGCACAGGGAGAGCATGCAAACTCCATGCAGAAAGACCCCTGGCTGGGATTCGAACTCGGAACCTTGTTGCTGCATTGCAGCATTGCTAACCACTGTTTCACTGTGCATTTTAAACTGATCTATATTATAATAATCGGATAGCCCAAAATGCTTAAAGGAGACTTTTTTACGAAATGATATCATGTGAAACTCAGACTTTTCCACTTGAGAAGTTTTTACATCAAATGCAAAGGTTTTTTATTTTTATTTTATTTTTTTTTTACAATTTTCGTATAATTACTGCTGAGTGGGTCGCTCTGTCAGCTAAAGGCATGTTTTAGCGTTTCTATGCTCCAGTTAACGATGAAGCGATTTCTGAATTAGTTGACAATTATTTTAATAAGCGATTAACCATGATTAATCTGATTAATTGCTTCAGCCCTAATGGTAATACAAGTCTCTACATTTTGAACAATTGAAACGCATCTTGTTGAATCAGGTGTGGATGTTGGATGTGGTGTCATTACGAGCTGCCACTGCCACTTTGTCTGCTCCTTTTATGACATATTAAACTTTAGTTTGTTATCTATTGGTTTATGACTATTTGTAACTGATTAAAAAAGTTTTTAATTTTCTAAAGTTATGTTTCATGGCACATTTTCAAAGTGAATGTCGTCATACAGCTGTGGAGATTTTCATCTGGTGGTTGTTGGTACTTTCACAAAGTTTATTGCACTGTAAGCCATGGGATGATGTGGTTAAGACTAAAACACTCTATCATTGTATTTCTTAGAATATTTGATAGCTGTTTACTTGTTACATCACGACCCACTCCGTTTACAGTTTGCTAGTGCTTCTTCCCAGGGCACCGATGTAGGAAACACTTAGCTTCTTTTGCAGAACACAAATAACTTGGGGGTTGGTGGTGATCACAGTTCAAAGACTCGTCATAGTGAGAACATGTCTCATTCTGTAACTCTGTACACTGTAAAAAAAAGAAAACAAGATTATATTGATTAGGCAGATATCATCAGAGATCAAACTCCTTATAAGTTTCAGTGCATTTCAGGTATAGAAACTTTTGAACACCATCTTATCTAATAGTTCTTCCTGTCAATTACCAAAGAACAGCTGAATGTTACAGATACTTGTTAGGAACATTAAAATCAATGTCACAACGTCAATGACGTCTAATAGATCTGTCTCACACATCAGGAAAGCTTTGGATTCATCTTTCATGGACTGATTGATTATTCTGTTCTTTCCCTTTAAAAAGCTGAGGATGCCAGCTGAGCTTTTAGTCTCAGTAGAGGCTAACATCTCTGCCAACCACACTCTAAAGTACCAGATAATGAGTCCCAGACTGATTCTAAGCAATAAAACATCTCGGCGTCACTTGTGAAATCTGTAATATCAATGCAGATTGCTTAATATCACATTTTAAACATCCGTGCTCATCAAACCACCACATCACCAGGTTTTCATCCAAGGCCTCTTGCGTGCATCCTGTTGTGGATTCTTTTACTCCCTAACCTTCCAACCTCCATTAATCATGTGTAAAATTTCCCACAGAGTTTAACAGAAAGCTGAAGCTTTTACTGGATATTTAGTTATTCCCTCCCCCTAAATACCTATATCGATTTTACATGTTGACTGGAGGGGAAAATATTTTAATTAGATGTTTCTAGATGTTTCTATTACAAACTAAAAACTTCAATGTTTTATTTGGATGTTATGTGACACCAACTCAACGTAGCACATAATCGTAAAGTGGACTTTTATCTAAATGAATTAGATTCAGTGCAATCAGTTTTTTTTTTCTTTTAGGGAAAAAGGAAAACAAATTTATATATATACATATATTATTTTTTATTTCATTTTTAAAATACCTTTTATAATTATTAAAAGTATTTCTATAGAGTAAAGAGTTGGTCTTTGTATGTTTATTTGCTGTACTCTGATTACAGACGCTGAGCGACAGGCCTTTCATCCAGAAACTTTTTCGTCCCGTTTCACCTGAAGGCAACGCACACACGCTTGGCGACCTCCTGAAGGAGATGTACCCAGATGCTTTGACAAATGATGGTAAGCCGACCATCAAGGCTTACCAAGGCTTAGCCTCTTAACTAATGCTAAGTACAATAAAATTATCTGAATTAACAATATTAAAGGAAAATTCCGGTTTTTAACACTTTTAGCCCATTTTCTGTAGTGTCCAGGATGAAATCGAATGATCGACACCAAAATTTTGACGATTGGTCCTGTCTCTGCTATTTGGCTCATGCAGAATCCCCCCCTGGCTGCTTCAGAATGGCTTCCATAGTGCATGTCCGATAATGTCCTTAAAACAACCTTAAACGTTCTTTTTTTAAAATATGCTACTCACCGGGTCGTCAGCGCTGTTCAATGACGTTCCAAAAAAAGTTTTGTGAAGAAAAACCGTTCCTGTCTTGTTTTATTTAGCATTTTGTAAATCCCAGAACTATTTTTTCCGATACATCACAACCGCTTATAAACTTCCGCTTCCCGTTCGAATCTGAAGCGTTGCGCACTCCAGACCACTAGTTGGCGACGGTATCCTCTACCGTCAAGCTCAAAGTCCAATATGTCCTCCTCAAGAATCCACCTTTCGTATTCCATTTTCAGAGTTTTTTAAATTGTTTAACAGAGACGTTAGCACCTCGACGTCGGAGTACACAGAGTGAAGCAGAAACACTTGGGCCTTGCGAAAAGACTACAACTAAGCGTATACAGGCCCCATTTCCGTTTCCGGTGGCGGAGGGATATTGACTATTCCAACAGAACTCAATGGGATTTACAAAATGCTAAATAAAACACTACAGGAACGTTTTTTCTTTACGAAACTTTTTTTGGAACGTCATTGAACAGCGCTGACGACCCGGTGAGTAGCATATTTTAAAAAAAGAACGTTTAAGGTTGTTTTAAGGACATTATCGGACATGCTCTATGGAAGCCATTCTGAAGCAGCCAGGGGGGGATTCTGCATGAGCCAAATAGCAGAGACAGGACCAATTGTCAAAATTTTGGTGTCGATCATTCGATTTCATCCTGGACACTACAGAAAATGGGCTAAAAGTGTTAAAAACCGGAATTTTCCTTTAAAGGAATAGTACACCCAAAACATGATTAGCCTTCATTTTCTACTCACCCCCATGCTGAACAACACTCTGGAGTACTTTTTTGATATCTCAAATGCATCTGGAGATCTGGGAGGCTTCTTGCTGTCTGCTGACATTCAAATAATGGAGGTCTATTGTGCCCGAGACAGAAAGGTCCATAAAAGTCCACAAAAACGTGTCAATATTCCTCCATACTGCTCGTCCAATGTATTCCAATTGTCCTGAGTGGGTAGCATCCAGAACTTTACTCGAAACAAAGTCATTTAGAATGTTTTTAGAGCATAAACAGTAGTGTATAGGATTTCCTCAAAGCGCGCACATGCGCGTTCACGAGCCTATGGAAGCCGGCAGACCAAACCAGCGCATTCAGCTCGGCAAAGAACTCCTGCTCTTCCTCAACACTGAAGTCCTCAGACATTTTTCTTTTGTTGTTTCTTTCTTTGCACAGGTAAACAGCACATTTCTTCTTCTACGCTTGCATTATCAGCAGAGCAGACGCTGAATGCGCACTTTCATCTGGTTTGGTCTGCCGGCTTCCGTAGCGTCCTGAACGCGCTGGCGCGCGCTTTCAGGAAATACTATACACTACTGTTTATGCTCTAAAAACATTCTAAATGACTTCGTTTCGAGTAAATTCTGGACGCTACCCACTCAGGACACTTGGAATACATTGGACGAGCAGTATGGAGGAATATTGACACGTTTTTTGTGGACTTTTATGGACCTTTCTGCCTCGGGCACCATAGACCTCCATTATTTGAATGTCAGCAGACAGCAAGAAGCCTCCCAGATCTCCAGATGCATTTGAGATATCAAAAAAGTACTCCAGAGTGTTGTTCAGCATGGGGGTGAGTAGAAAATGAAGGCTAATCATGTTTTGGGTGTACTATTCCTTTAACCATGTTCCAAAAGGGAGGGTACAGAACATTACTCTTCTCAAGGATATTTTTATTTTTTTGTACTTTGAAGGAATCTCTGTGATCCACATTTACTGATAATACAACCTGGAAGAGAAAGATGAGGGAAAATAGAGATTGTTGCCATGAGCAATGAATAAAGATGTGGGCTAGAGGAGAGGATGGGGAGGGAGAAGTGAAAACTAACGGAGATGTAAAGAGGGAAGAAGAGGAAGGTCTAGTTATGACAAGAGTTTGGAGATTTCCAGCTATCTGAGATGGATAATAGGCCGTGTCCTTCTATCTACTCTCACAACGGGCAGAATCCTTTCAAAATATGCAGAGTTGATAGGATCATAAAAGTTCATGGGATCACAGCTGTAGGTATAAACAACTGGCTTCCTGATTGGGCCAATCGACTGCAGTGTTCACAGCAGACAAAGGTAAAGCTTGACCTGGAATAAAAACCTAACCACTTCCCTGAAAATAATAAACGCTTTAGCTTTAGCTTAAAATGACATCCTTCTATGATTTGATGTTGGAATCTGTCCGTCATTGAAAGGAGCCTGCATCTTCACACTTTATTTGGCTGCTTTGCTTATACAACATACTGGAGTGCAGCTATGTACTTAGAAGATGTTAGTGGGTTCATAAGATAAGATTCTGGTTGGGCGTCATGATGAGATTATTATTATTAGGGATGAAACAATTACCGTAAATTCCAGACTATAGAGCGCACCTGATTACAAGTCGCACGCTCTAATTTTAGAAAGAAAATAAATTTTGTACTTTTATAAGCCGCACCGAATTTTAAACCGCAGGTTTCCCACGTTGTATGAGATATTTACAAATAAAGATATTACACGTGAGCATTTTTTTAACGTTTGATTTAATCCGTATGATAAAACAAACAAATACGGTACATATTATGAATGCTTTTTTTTTTTTCAAACTACCTGTAACACATTTAAATATACTTATGTGTCGGTAACACGCAAATAACGCTGCATATACCGGTACTTTTTTTTTTTTTTTTTTCCAACTTTCTTTATTGAATTTTACAACTTGACACACAACAAACAATGAAAACACAGTAGTTTTCAAAGAAGTTCAAGCTGATTTCTCCCAGAACCCAACCCACCCCAAACGCACCCCATCCAGGTCCAAGCACAGGACAAACAGCCTGCTGGGATCCAGTCCCTATAGCAGTTTCTAACAACACAACATACACACACATCCATCCACACATATTCGAAAGGAGGCAGGAAAAGAGATAAAAAAAAAAAAAAAATAATAATACTGATACTAAGTAAATAAATAAATATGTACTTAAGCGTACATATTATTAAGTTAAACAAGTATATAAATAAATTACAAATGAAAAAAAAAAAAATTATAAGACGAAGAGTATATATCGGTTAAAAAGAAAAGAAATGGGTTGGATATCAATGAGAAGGCCTGCAGAAAATTTAATTTTCTTCTGGATCAGGTAGCAAGGTCATGTTACCCACAATAGATAGGAAAGGTCTCCATAAATTTACTTGAGGAGCCCTTAAGTGAAAATCTGAGTTTTTCCAGCTTCAGGTTGTAAAGAACTTCTCTGACCCAACAGTCATGAGACGGGGGGAGGTTTAGTTTCCATCTAAGTAAAATAAGTCTTCGAGCCAAAAGGGTAGTGAAGGCTAGGGCTCGTTTCAAAGAACGCGAAAGTCTGGAGGGATGCCAAATATAGCCGATAACGGATTGGGGAGAATTGTCTGATTATATGCTTGGCTTAGTGTTTTAAAAATGTTACCCCAATATCCGGTTAGCTTTGGGCACGCCCAAAACATGTGGGTATGGTTAGCTGGTGACTGTCCGCACCTATTACAAATGTCGCTGACTGATGGGTAAATCTTTGCTAATTTTGAGTTTGTGTAATGCGCTTTATAGAATATTTTGCACTGTATTAAAACATGCCGGGCACAGATCGAGGACCTATGAATTAAATTCTTGGCAGCCTCCCACCGCTCCTCATCCATCCCAGCACCCAACTCCCCCTCCCATGCTGTTTTAACAAAGGCTGCAGGTCTTGAGGTGTTATTATTATTGATAGAATTATATACAAATGAAATAAATTTTTTCCGTTGTGGGTCTAATTGTAGAAGAGTATCTAAAAGTGTTTCAGGGGGTCGATTAGGAAAATGTGGAAACACCTTTTTAACGTAATCCCTGGCCTGAAAGAACCGAAAGAGATGAGAATTAGGCAGTTGGAATTTTGATGAAAGTTCAGCAAAGGATGAAAAGATATTATTGTTATAAAGATCCTTTACAGTCTTGATCCCTCCGTCGTGCCACAAGTTAAAAACCGAATCCGTGACTGAAGGCATGAAGTTACAATTTTTAGCTAAGGGGGTTTGTATCGAAGGTCCATGCAGGCCAAACTGTTTCCTAAATTGGATCCAAATCTTTAATGTGGCTTTAACAATGGGATTGTTCTCTATCAGGGAGAGGGGAAGGGGGAGCTGAGAGCAAAGCAGAGAGGACAACGAATAACGGCTAGATGCCCTTTCAATCCGCACCCAGGCAGGTGAAGCCTCAGCATCACACCCCCAATATAATAGTTTCTGTATATTAGCTGCCCAGTAATATTCCCTGAAGTTGGGAAGAGCAAGTCCACCTTCACAAGTTGGGGACTGTAGCACTGATTTACGAAGTCTGGCAGGTCTTTTAAGCCATAAGAATTGGGATATTTTCTTATCCAACTTGTCAAAAAAGGACTTTGTAATTAGTATCGGAACATGTTGAAAAAGGTAGAAAATTTAGGTAAAATTATCATTTTAACCAGGTCCACCCGTCCCATCAAAGATAATGGTAATAAGGACCACCTGTCAAAATCTTTCTCCATGTTCTCTAATAACGGGGAAAAATTCTTGTTCATCAAGCTGGACATAGAAGAACAAACAAATATCCCTAAGTAACGAAACCCTGCTTCAGCCCATTTAAAGGGTGAAATTGAGCGAGGAAGGTTTCTTGCCAAAGAGTTCAAGGGAAATAATTGGCTTTTCTG